TTTAGTGCCGATGGGGGTAGCTTAGGTAGCACTGATACGGCCGTGGACTAGTTTGGTTTTAATTGGATAGTAGTGAGTACACAACGGGCAAAGTGAGGGAATGACCGATAGCCAGTCCATGGAGGGGAGCTGTAGAACCCGAGAGGGTAGGCCATGAAGTGAGAGAGTGGGCCCAGCGTTCCACTGACCTGGGCAGACCTAGAGAGGGAAGCACCGGAGTGCCGCGGAATATGAAACTAGCAGACAGAAATGGCCGTCCACACTTGCTCGGCCACGCGAGGTACCTCGCGTCGTCCCAACGCGACAATTCTGGTGGGCCCGAAGGTGTGAAAGAATTACTTACAATAGCTACCCCAGGGAGGAACTGGCTTTCGCTCACTCATAAATTAAAAATGGACATAAAATGAAGCAGGCAAAAAAAAAAAAAAAAAAAAAAAAAAAACTCTCCCATCCTGAGGGAAGAGAAAACTGGCGTGCCCGCGCAGCTTCAGTGAGAACAGAGCCAGAAGACGTCAACAGAGCCAGAAGACGTCAACAGAGCCAGAAGACGTCAACAGAGCCAGAAGACGTCAACAGAGCCAGAAGACGTCAGCACTGGAACTAAAATCTTCTATATACAAGTTGTCCGCAGGGCTGAACATCAGGTTCCCCTACTCGTCCACAACGCTGTTGCACCCTCACATCTGTAAACAATGACTGACAGTAGCATTTCCTAAGGTGTGACATAAGACTCCAAGGGCGGCACTGCCCTGACCGTAATACAGGCTTTAAAAGACACACTGGGTGCACATACCTACAATAATACTATTTCCATGGAATTCGTTACACTCTGGGTATCCTTCTAAAATTATTTACATATTTACATGATGTTGTCCACCCTGACTCAGTTATCAACTAACTATACAATGTGTGCGCATTTATACCCATTTCTGTAAGCAAACAATTAGCATAGCTAGTGCAAGAGTCAGACAAGTCAGTAGGTACGTCAGTGTCACAGAAATGTACTGTTGTCCTGAGTTTGTGGCCATAAGTTTGGAGCCTTACAGGACTGTCATCAGTAACAGTAGTAGTGGGTGAAGAAGTAAACGGGTTGTCCCTAGTATGAGTCTGATTGTGACTTAGCAACGCACGCGACTCCAGCTCTGCTTCGGCTTGCACATGGTCAACATTCTTCATATGGTCAAGGTGAGCTTCTTTGACAGTTCCAGTAGCCATCTCCCTCACCTCGAACTTATTGCCACGGAGCTGTCGTAGGACACGGTAAGGACCAACGAATTTGGGAGCAAGTTTATGCATACCTGGGGTCTGCGCCGGGTTGAGCAACATAACTTTGCAACCTGGTTCCACTTTGCTTTCCTTGGTGAGGGCATTGTGATCAGACGTGAACCTATCAGTAGCTTTCATAAGATTCTCTCGTACCCGCTAGAAAACAAGCTGCGTTGTCCGCATCTTAACTACACTGAGGTTATCAGTGTCGTAAGTAGGTCGAGGCGGAGCAAACAGAATTTCGTACGGTAAGCGCTTGACATAGCCATACAAAGCGAAATGAGGTGTCTCACCGATCGAGCCGTTGAGGAAGGAGTTTAGTGTACACTGAACATCCGGGATAACCTCATCCCATGTAGTACAACTCGGGTTAACAGTTACCCTGAGCACCTCCAGGACTTCGCGATTTTTACGCTCAGCAAGGCCATTACTCGCAGGGTGGCGTGGAGCTACTGGCGCTTGGTGAATGTTATATCTGGAGCAAAGATCCTGCATTATGGCGTTTATGAACTCAAACCCATTGTCTGACAGAAGGACACGTGGGCAGGCATGACGGAGAACCACTTGCTCACGGAAAGCATTAGCAACAGTCTCGGCAGTTTTGTCAGGAATGGGTACTAATTCACTCTACCGCGTCAAGTTATCTACCATTACAAGCAGGTGCTTATTTCCCTTCTCCGAGATCGAGAAGTTCGTCAACAGGTCAACAGAAGTTCTCTCCCAGGGCTCCTTTGTAATGGGATACTTTTGAATTGAATTAGGACTTGTAACAGTACCCTTGTGCTGCAGAGAAACAACACACTGGTGCACATGCTTGGCAATGTCCGCTGCCATCTTAGGCCAGAAATATTTCATTCGTGCCTGTTTGATGCTGTGGTCCTACCCGGTATCACCAGTTGGTGTACGGTTCTGCCGGGTCCACCAGCTGTGCAACACGGCATAGTACTCCAGATATGCATAAACTTGTTCCCAAATTCATTGGTCCTTACCGTGTCCTCCGACAGCTACGTGGCAATAAGTTCGAGGTGAGGGAGATGGCTACTGGAACTATCAAAGAAGCTCACCTTGATCACATGAAGTATGTGGACCATGTGCAGGCCGAAGCAGAGCTGGAGCCGCGTGCGTTGTAAAGCCACAATCAGACTCGTGATAATAACAACCCGTTTACTTCTTCACCCACTACTACTGTTACTGATGACAGTCCAGTAAGGCTCCATACTTATGGCCTGAGACCCAGGACAACAGAACATTTGTGCGTGTGTGTGTGTGTGTATGTGTGTGTGTGTGTGTGTGTGTGTGTGTGTGTGTGTGTGTGTGTGTGTGTGTGTGTGTGTGTGTGTGTGTGTGTGTGTGTGTGTGTATGTGGGTGTGTGTGCGTGCGTGTGTGTGTGCGTGCGTGTGTGTGTGTGTGCGTGCGTGTGTGTGTGTGTATGTGGGTGTGTGTGTGTACTCACCTAGTTGTACTCACCTAGTTGAGGTTGCAGGGGTCGAGTCCGAGCTCCTGGCCCCTCCTCTTCACTGATTGCTACTAGGTCACTCTCCCTGAACCGTGAGCTTTATCATACCTCTGCTTAAAGCTATGTATCGATCCTGCCTCCACTACATAGCTTCCCAAACTATTCCACTTACTGACTACTCTGTGGCTGAAGAAATACTTCCTAACATCCCTGTGATTCATCTGTGTCTTCAACTTCCAACTGTGTCCCCTTGTTACTGTGTCCAATCTCTGGAACATCCTGTCTTTGTCCACCTTGTCAATTCCTCTCAGTATTTTGTATGTCGTTATCATGTCCCCCCTATCTCTCCTGTCCTCCAGTGTCGTCAGGTTGATTTCCCTTAACCTCTCCTCGTAGAACATACCTCTTAGCTCTGGGACTAGTCTTGTTGCAAACCTTTGCACTTTCTCTAGTTTCTTTACGTGCTTGGCTAGGTGTGGGTTCCAAACTGGCGCCGCATACTCCAGTATGAGCCTAACGTACACGGTGTACAGGATCCTGAACGATTCCTTATTAAGATGTCGGAATGCTGTTCTGAGGTTTGCTAGGCGCCCATATGCTGCAGCAGTTATTTGGTTGATGTGCGCTTCAGGAGATGTGCCTGGTGTTATACTCACCCAAAGATCTTTTTCCTTGAGTGAGGTTTGTAGTCTCTGGCCCCCTAGACTGTACTCCGTCTGCGGTCTTCTTTGCCCTTCCCCAATCTTCATGACTTTGCACTTGGTGGGATTGAACTCTAGGAGCCAGTTGCTGGACCAGGTCTGCAGCCTGTCCAGATCCCTTTGTAGTTCTGTCTGGTCTTCGATCGAGTGATTTCTTCTCATCAACTTCACGTCATCTGCAAACAGGGACACCTCAGAGTCTATTCCTTCCGTCATGTCGTTCACAAATACCAGAAACAGCACTGGTCCTAGGACTGACCCCTGTGGGACCCCGCTGGTCACAGGTGCCCACTCTGACACCTCGCCACGTACCATGACTCGCTGCTGTCTTTCTGACAAGTATTCCCTGATCCATTGTAGTGCCTTCCCTGTTATCCCTGCTTGGTCCTCCAGTTTTTGCACCAATCTCTTGTGTGGAACTGTGTCAAACGCCATCTTGCAGTCCAAGAATAAGCAATCCACCCACCCCTCTCTCTCTCTTGTCTTACTGCTGTCACCATGTCATAGAACTCCAGTAGGTTTGTGACACAGGATTTCCCGTCCCTGAAACCATGTTGGCTGCTGTTGATGAGATCATGCCTTTCTAGGTGTTCCACCACTCTTCTCCTGATAATCTTCTCCATGATTTTACATACTATACATGTCAGTGACACTGGTCTGTAGTTTAGTGCTTCATGTCTGTCTCCTTTTTTAAAGATTGGGACTACATTTGCTGTCTTCCATGCCTCAGGCAATCTCCCTGTTTCGATAGATGTATTGAATATTGTTGTTAGGGGTACACATAGCGCCTCTACTCCCTCTCTCAGGACCCATGGAGAGATGTTATCTGGCCCCATTGCCTTTGAGGTATCTAGCTCACTCAGAAGCCTCTTCACTTCTTCCTCGGTTGTGTGCACTGTGTCCAGCACTTGGTGGTGTGCCCCACCTCTCCGTCTTTCTGGAGCCCCTTCTGTCTCCTCTGTGAACACTTCTTTGAATCTCTTGTTGAGTTCTTCACATACTTCACGGTCATTTCTTGTTGTCTCTCCTCCTTCCTTCCTTAGCCTGATTACCTGGTCCTTGACTGTTGTTTTCCTCCTGATGTGGCTGTATAACAGCTTCGGGTCAGATTTGGCTTTCGCTGCTATGTCGTTTTCATATTGTCTTTGGGCCTCCCTTCTTATCTGCGCATATTCATTTCTGGCTCTACGACTGCTCTCCTTATTCTCCTGGGTCCTTTGCCTTCTATATTTCTTCCATTCCCTAGCACACTTGGTTTTTGCCTCCCTGCACCTTTGGGTAAACCATGGGCTCATCCTGGCTTTTTCATTATTCCTGTTACCCTTGGGTACAAACCTCTCCTCAACCTCCTTGCACATTGTTGCTACATGTGTGTGTGTGTGTGTGTGTGTGTGTGTGTGTGTGTGTGTGTGTGTGTGTGTGTGTGTGTGTGTGTGTGTGTGTGTGTGTGTGTGTCTGATATTTATCCACCTGAAGAGAGCCTTCAGCTACGCTGAAATAATTTACACTATTTGTAGCAGTAAAATTATTGATCTTTGTAAAACGTGAGCGTATAAGAAGGTGTGTTGTGGCACAGATGGCGAGGCAGCGTCTACAAGATGGTGTGGCACGACATGCTCGTCTTCATCTTCCTGTATTACTTCATCTCCCTCATCTACCGCTTCGCTCTCCCCGACGACTCCAGAAAGTAAGATTAAACCTACACCTTGATGAATAAGATACATGTGTAACACTTGTCCGTGTGTCTCACTCATCACCTTCTCTTTTTTGTACACAACTAATCATGAACATATAGGAATATATATATATATATATATATATATATATATATATATATATATATATATATATATATATATATATATATATATATATATATATATATATATACTTAAACACATGCTAGACGATTCTCAACCTAATAATGGTCTAGGACTGACCGAAAAGTCTAAACTTTACTTCCTAAATTGTAAGTCAGTTATAGATAACATAACCACAGCTCCAGAGATACAAAATATATTCACCAAACATTAATTTCATTACTGATGTAAATACAGATATTCGCTGTATTTTACCCGGAGAAATGTGTTACGTCGTGTGTCTGTTGCAGGACGTTTGAGAGCTTCGTACTTCACTGTGCTCGCTTCCGCAACCTCATTCCAGTGTCCTTCGTGCTCGGTTTCTTCGTGTCTCTGGTAGTGAACCGCTGGTGGGGTATGTACCAGAGTATACCCTGGCCTGACACTGCTGCTATACTCGTAGCTACACATATCCCTGGCCAGGTGAGTGTCCCAGTGTACCTCTATACTCACCTCGATGTGGTTGCTCCTGGTCTAAGCTCCTGGTCCTACTCCTTAACTTGCAGCTTGCCAGGTTCATTCCTTAACATCATGGATCCTATCGTACCTGCTTTTAAATCTGTGTATGGAGCCTGCCTCCCCCACTTCTTCATAGAAATCATTCCACTTTCCGATCACTTTAATACTGTCGAAATGCTTCCTGGACATTCCTGTCCCCTATCAGTATCTGTAGCTTCCAGCTGTGCCCCCAAGCACCTATTTCCCGCCTCTCAAACAGCCTGTCCTTGTCTGCCCTATCAATTCCTTTGAGTATTTTGTATATTGTTATCATATCTCTGGTGATATACTGAGCACTATGCTCACACCTAGGTTTTCCTCTTTGTGTAAGGACTGCATCCCCCGTCCCTAGAGTCAACACTCCGTGTCCCCTCTTCTTGACCCTTTCCCAATCTTCATAGCTTTACATTTGCTGGAGTTGGATTCGAGCAACCACTTATTTCATCAATCTTACAATTCGCCCAGATCGTTTGGAGTCTTTACCTTTCCTCGTCTGTTTTTTATTCTTCTCATTATAAGTTTAATATCAACAATAAACAGTGATCCATCTGACTCAGTCTCACCTGGAATGTTACCCAAATTAACCACAAAAAGAACTGGTCCCAATATCAACCCCTGTGGAACCCTGCTAGTTACTCTTTCCAATTCCGACGATTCTTCCCTGACAGTCACTGATTCACTGAAGCATATTCCCTGTTATTTCTGTCTGCACCTCCATCCTCTTGTGGGTGTACAAATGCAATCCGCCCAACCCTCTCTTTCCTGTCTGACATCTGTTACTGTATCATAAAAGTCCAACAGGTTGGTAAGGCAAGATTTGCCATCTCTGAACCCGTGTTGGTGATTGTTTATACAGTACATCTCTCCAAGTGTTCTGTCACTCCCATTCTGATACAATCTTCCCCATTAAACTACACGTTATGCATGTCAGAGAAACTGGTCTGTAGTTCAACGCTTCCTGTCTTCCTTCTTAAATATAGAGATTACATTTGCTGTCTTCCAGATCTTCCAGTACTTCTGGGTGTATGCTGTCTCCTATGCTGTCTGACATTGGCCATTTCTGGAAACCTTCAATAATTTGTTCAACACTACGCAGAGTTCCTTTTCATTTTTCGTGACCTCGTCCTTCTTCAGCTGACTCACCTGGTCTCATACTGCTGTCTGTCTTCTGATGAGGCTGTGAAGCAGTTTTGTTCAGACTTGTCTTAGATGTTTTATTATTCACAAATTGTTACTTACTTTCTCCTTACTCTTGCATATTCCTTCTTGTTATTCTGCCACTTCTCTGCTCTCATGTGTCCTCCGCTTCCTGTAGTGTTTCCATGTTCTTCTACATCTTGTTTTTACTTCTTCGTTTCTCTTCTTCAGTCCAGGTCTCTCTCTTTGTCTCGGCTTTACCCACATCTTCCCCTGGCTATGAAGTTCTCATCTATATATTAGCATTTTCCAGGTAAGTTGTGTGAGATTGTGTGAGGCTGAACTGAGGGTGTGTGAGGCTGAACTTAGGTTGTGTGAGGCTGAACTTAGGTTGTGTGAGGCTGAACTTAGGTTGTGTGAGGCTGAACTAAAGTTGTGTAAGGCTGAACTGAGGTTGTGTGAGGCTGAACTTAGGTTGTGTGAGGCTGAACTTAGGTTGTGTGAGGCTGAACTTAGGTTGTGTGAGGCTGAACTTAGGTTGTGTGAGGCTGAACTAAAGTTGTGTAAGGCTGAACTGAGGTTGTGTAAGGCTGAACTGACGTTATGTAAGGCTGAACTTAAATTGTGTGAGTCTGAGCTTAAGTTGTGTCACACACACAGAGTGCTGAGGCACGGGAGGCACGGAGCAACATCCTCCGCTACATCAACCTCACCATCGCTCTCACCTTCGCTAAGATCTCACCGGTGGTGAAGGCTAAGTATCCCACACTCAACAGCTTCGTCATGGCAGGTACGTCCCATTACTATCCATGGTGCCCGTAGCTGTGTTTACTACTGGGTCGGCGTCTACTGTCTCGTAGGTCGATCTATGGATTATTATTGTGAGAAATTACTTGCATGAGGTTTACAGGGTATTGCCTAAATTATTACATGTAAGTAATTTGGGCGAGGTAAGTGGGACTTAGTCACAGTAGGTCAGTGAACTGTAACTCCCTCGATGCTCACTCCATCACTACTCTCACAAAAAGCTAGACCTGAATTGTATTAGTAGTTACAATATTAAAACCAGCTAGTCTGATATATTAAAATTATGTGGACTGTGTGTTTTAGTTTACATGTTGGGTACACAAAATATAACTATTAGTAAAATACATATAATACAATGGTGTTACTAGAAAAGAAATTCGTATTACCACTTACCATTTAATTACTGGATCATAATTATTATTTTTTTGGAAACAGACCCTAACTCTACCACAAGAGAGAATTTACAATGGCCAACACAACACTACTGTACATTATGGGCAAGCATCACTTAGGTAAGGTGTGCTCCTTGGAAGACTCGGTGTCCTCTATTTTTCCGTTCTTGTTGCCGAATTACAAGGGTTTTCCACACTATCCTAATTCATCAGCGGGAACACGTCAGTAATTTTTAAATTACAGATTGAGACCGATATACACCAACTGAACTTCGATGACGCCTGATTACATCGCACGATTTTCCACAACAACCAGTGCTCGCAAATTACAAAATGGCGCCGCCCTCCCTCCCCCCCGTCCGTGTTACTCTGCGGCTGTTCTACACCCCCCTCACTCGAAATTTCTCGAAGGGTCAAATCAGCATCACATTTTAATACATAATTATTATATTATTCAAATTTACACAATTAGGAAAATTCAAAATTTTCCACACGATCAGTAGCGCACTCGGCTCACACACTGAGGCCCGGGGATCGATCCCCGGTACCATAGGAAACATCAGGACGTGTTTCCTTAAGACAACCTGCTGTTCACTGTTCACCTAGCAGTAAAATAAGTACCTGGGTGTTAGTGGACTGGTGTGGGTCGCATCTTGGGTGTTAGTGGACTGGTGTGGGTCGCATCCTGGGTGTTAGTGGACTGGTGTGGGTCGCATCCTGGGTGTTAGTGGACTGGAGTGGGTCGCATCCTGGGTGTTAGTGGACTGGTGTGGGTCGCATCCTGGGTGTTAGTGGACTGGTGTGGGTCGCATCCTGGGTGTTAGTGGACTGGTGTGGGTCGCATCCTGGGTGTTAGTGGACTGGTGTGGGTCGCATCCTGGTGTTAGTGGACTGGTGTGGGTCGCATCCTGGGTGTTAGTGGACTGGTGTGGGTAGCATCCTGGGTGTTAGTGGACTGGTGTGGGTCGCATCCTGGGTGTTAGTGGACTGGTGTGGGTAGCATCCTGGGTGTTAGTGGACTGGTGTGGGTCGCATCCTGGGTGTTAGTGGACTGGTGTGGGTCGCATCCTGGGTGTTAGTGGACTGGTGTGGGTCGCATCCTGGGTGTTAGTGGACTGGTGTGGGTCGCATCCTGGGTGTTAGTGGACTGGTGTGGGTCGCATCCTGGTGTTAGTGGACTGGTGTGGGTAGCATCCTGGGTGTTAGTGGACTGGTGTGGGTCGCATCCTGGGTGTTAGTGGACTGGTGTGGGTAGCATCCTGGGTGTTAGTGGACTGGTGTGGGTCGCATCCTGGGTGTTAGTGGACTGGTGTGGGTCGCATCCTGGGTGTTAGTGGACTGGTGTGGGTCGCATCCTGGGTGTTAGTGGACTGGTGTGGGTCGCATCCTGGGTGTTAGTGGACTGGTGTGGGTCGCATCCTGGGTGTTAGTGGACTGGTGTGGGTCGCATCCTGGTGTTAGTGGACTGGTGTGGGTCGCATCCTGGGTGTTAGTGGACTGGTGTGGGTCGCATCCTGGGTGTTAGTGGACTGGTGTGGGTCGCATCCTGGGTGTTAGTGGACTAGTGTGGGTCGCATCCTGGGTGTTAGTGGACTGGTGTGGTTCGCATCCTGGGTGTTAGTGGACTGGTGTGGGTCGCATCCTGGGTGTTAGTGGACTGGTGTGGGTAGCATCCTGGGTGTTAGTGGACTGGTGTGGGTCGCATCCTGGGTGTTAGTGGACTGGTGTGGGTCGCATCCTGGGTGTTAGTGGACTGGTGTGGGTCGCATCCTGGGTGTTAGTGGACTGGTGTGGGTCGCATCCTGGGTGTTAGTGGACTGGTGTGGGTCGCATCCTGGGTGTTAGTGGACAGGTGTGGGTCGCATCCTGGGTGTTAGTGGACTGGTGTGGGTCGCATCCTGGGTGTTAGTGGACTGGTGTGGGTCGCATCCTGGGTGTTAGTGGACTGGTGTGGGTCGCATCCTGGGTGTTAGTGGACTGGTGTGGGTCGCATCCTGGGTGTTAGTGGACTGGTGTGGGTCGCATCCTGGGTGTTAGTGGACTGGTGTGGGTCGCATCCTGGGTGTTAGTGGACTGGTGTGGGTCGCATCCTGGGTGTTAGTGGACTGGTGTGGGTCGCATCCTGGGTGTTAGTGGACTGGTGTGGGTCGCATCCTGGGTGTTAGTGGACTGGTGTGGGTCGCATCCTGGGTGTTAGTGGACTGGTGTGGGTCGCATCCTGGGTGTTAGTGGACTGGTGTGGGTCGCATCCTGGGTGTTAGTGGACTGGTGTGGGTCGCATCCTGGGTGTTAGTGGACTGGTGTGGGTCGCATCCTGGGACAAAACTGACCTAATCTGCTTGAAATGCTCAACATAACAAGTGACTTTCTATATAGTAGTATGTCACTGATGTCAGCTATGGTCTGTATAAGTTTTATCATGTACTGGTAGAAATAAATATTATTATTATTATTATTATTATTATTATTATTATTATTATTATTATTATTATTATTAAAGAAGGTGGTAGTGGCTGTGTTTACCACTGGGTCATTTTCTAGGCTTCACTGGCTGGGGGGCCAGACTGCACATGGAATGATGGGATAAGTAGGTTTGAGCCGAGGAAGAGGAGGGTGGGTGCCTCTTTTTGCATCAAGATCTACTGAATTATCAGTTATTGTTAATTTAAGTAAAAGGAAATTCCGACTGTATAGTAGATTAAACCTGACTTATTTAGTAGACAGTGTCTACTAAACCAGGCAGGCATGGCCTACCTGTCTACTAAACCAGGCAGGCATGGTCTACCTGTCTTCTAAACCAGGCAGGCATGGTCTACCTGTCTACTAAACCAGGCAGGCATGGCCTACCTGTCTACTAAACCAGGCAGGCATGGTCTACCTGTCTACTAAACCAGGCAGGCATGGCCTACCTGTCTACTAAACCAGGCAGGCATGGTCTACCTGTCTTCTAAACCAGGCAGGCATGGCCTACCTGTCTACTAAACCAGGCAGGCATGGCCTACCTGTCTACTAAACCAGGCAGGCATGGTCTACCTGTCTTCTAAACCAGGCAGGCATGGTCTACCTGTCTACTAAACCAGGCAGGCATGGCCTACCTGTCTACTAAACCAGGCAGGCATGGTCTACCTGTCTACTAAACCAGGCAGGCATGGCCTACCTGTCTACTAAACCAGGCAGGCATGGCTTACCTGTCTACTAAACCAGGCAGGCATGGCCTACCTGTCTACTAAACCAGGCAGGCATGGCTTACCTGTCTACTAAACCAGGCAGGCATGGTCTACCTGTCTACTAAACCAGGCAGGCATGGCCTACCTGTCTACTAAACCAGGCAGGCATGGCCTACCTGTCTACTAAACCAGGCAGGCATTGCCTACCTGTCTACTAAACCAGGCAGGCATGGTCTACCTGTCTACTAAACCAGGCAGGCATGGCCTACCTGTCTACTAAACCAGGCAGGCATGGCCTACCTGTCTACTAAACCAGGCAGGCATGGCTTACCTGTCTACTAAACCAGGCAGGCATGGTCTACCTGTCTACTAAACCAGGCAGGCATGGCTTACCTGTCTACTAAACCAGGCAGACATGGTCTACCTGTCTACTAAACCAGGCAGGCCTGGTCTACCTGTCTACTAAACCAGGCAGACATGGTCTACCTGTCTACTAAACCAGGCAGACATGGTCTACCTGTCTACTAAACCAGGCAGACATGGTCTACCTGTCTACTAAACCAGGCAGGCATGGCCTACCTGTCTACTAAACCAGGCAGGCCTGGTCTACCTGTCTACTAAACCAGGCAGGCATGGTCTACCTGTCTACTAAACCAGGGAGGCATGGTCTACCTGTCTACTAAACCAGGGAGGCCTGGCCTACCTGTCTACTAAACCAGGGAGGCATGGTCTACCTGTCTACTAAACCAGGCAGGCATGGCCTACCTGTCTACTAAACCAGGCAGGCATGGCCTACCTGTCTACTAAACCAGGGAGGCCTGGCCTACCTGTCTACTAAACCAGGGAGGCCTGGCTTACCTGTTTACTAAATTGTGCACAAAACTGAGTGTAAAGTAAGTAAAGTAAGTAAAGTAAGTAAAGTAAGTAAAGTAAGTAAAGTAAGTAAGTAAGTAATAAAGAAAGCCAAACAACTGTATTACTCCAGCAGATTCACTGACACAAGAGGAGATATAAAAAAGACCTGGAAAACACTTTCCCAGATTCTGGGGACCCACAAACTGAAAAAAAAACAAGAATATTGTTCTAACTAAACCTCATGAAACACCACTGCATCCCACTGACACAGCTAACAAGATAAACGACTTCTTCTCAACCACAGGATCTAATCTCGCCAGTAAAATCCCACGTACCAACGTCCGTGCCGGGGACTACCTAGATGGGAATTTCCCAAATTCCTTCTATCTTGCACCAACTGAGCCCACGGAAGTCACCGCGATCATAAAGTCACTTAAAAATAACTCGGGGAATCTGTCTCACGTCCCACCATTATTGTATGTCACCATTAAAGACACAGCCTCATCAATACGGCCACTTGATACTGGAGTTCCGCAGGGAAGTGTCCTTGGTCCTCTGCTCTTCCTCATTTACATCAATGATCTTCCAAACATATCCCAACACCTGAAACCCATTCTCTTTGCTGACGACACGACTTATGTCATCTCCCACCCTAATCTTGCCACCCTCAACACCATTGTTAACGAGGAGCTGATCAAAATATCGACTTGGATGACAGCCAATAAACTTACACTTAACACTGACAAAACCTACTATATTATGTTTGGTAGCAGAGCAGGTGTTGCGCAACTTTACATTAAGATCGACAACACTCTAATTGCCAGACATAATGAGGGCAAATTCCTTGGCCTATACCTCGACAACAACCTAAATTTCAGCACCCATATCCAACACATAACAAAAAAAGTATCCAAAACGGTGGGGATCCTCTCCAAGATACGATACTACGTGCCGCAAACTGCCCTTCTCACACTATACCATTCACTTATATATCCATACCTCACCTATGCTATCTGTGCTTGGGGATCAACTGCAGCAACACATCTAAAGCCAATAATAACCCAACAAAAAGCCGCAGTAAGAATAATCACTAAATCCCATCCCTGGCAACACACCCCCTACTCTTCATATATCTAAACTTACTCCCTGTTCAGAACATCCACACGTACTACTGTGCAGTCTATATCTACAGGACCTTAAATTCCAATATTAACCTTGACCTAAAATGCTTTCTTGATAGATGTGACAGGATCCACAGGCATAACACCAGACACAAACATCTCTATAACATTCCCCGTGTTCGACTAAACCTTTACAAAAATTCAATGTATTTCAAAGGACCTAAAATCTGGAACACCCTACCTGAAAACTCTAGAACTGCAGACGCATTCATCACTTTCAAAACTACAGTTAGAAAACATCTTATCTCCCTGATACACACCGACAACTAACTACATGATAACCACCTGGTGGTTCACAGTTATACTCACTCACCCACTGACTATAAACACAGAAATACTAATCTTAATCTTAAAATAATGAATCCTAACTAGTCATAAGTTTGCCTATGATACTCCAATATAGACGCCTTGTATTGTGCCAAAACAAAAGCATTCACATTGCTAAAGTTACAAATTATGATGTAGTCACCTATACTTATTACCATAATCTGTAAGGATTTAATGCTAAGAATTAATCTAAGTCTGCCCGAAATGCCTAGCCATGCTAGGTGTCCTAGTGGTCCCCTCTGTAATTAGTATTTTATAACATGTAAACCACACAATATCCAAATAATGTAAACCCCATACTGTAACCCTCATAGAGAATAAACTTTATATGATTTGATTTGATTTGATGTGAAGGGAAACATAGCTAGCTTTTGTTCATCTGCTCCTGCGATGTGTTGAACAATTCTCCAGCTACGTTATGTATTTCTGGCAGATTTTAAGATTTACTTAAACCTAACTAAGCATTACTTACAATTAATGTTAACGACAGGTTACTTGACTGAGAGAGAGATGAAGATTCTCGAGTCTCTGGAAGACAGAGTGAACGTACACAAGGTGTGGGTGCCAGTGTTGTGGGCGTGCAAGGCACTAGACCACGCCAGGAGGCACGAACTGACCACTGAAGGTGGCCAGAGGGTCATCACAGCCGAGTTTCTGGCCATCAGGAGCAAGTGTGGAGGTCTGATGGGCTGGCACCAGTATAACATCCCTCTCGTCTACATTCAGGTTAGCAACCACTCAGCTTTTTAATGGTATTTGTAAGTGGACACATTTCCTGGTTTACCTGGAGTTTCCCAGGAGAGGATTTCGGGAGTCAACGCCCAAGCAGCTCGGTCTGAGACCAGGTCTCATGGTGGATCAGGATCTGATCAACCAGGCTGTTACTGCCTGCTCCAAAATTAAATGATTATTAATTACAAGTTGTAAAGAATAAATTGGTCAGTTAATATTTTTAAAGATTCGCCGGTATTCTCCCGGCCCGGGCCTTCCAAGTGGCGGCCCGGGCCTTCCAGGTGGCGGCCCGGGCCTTCCAAGTGGCGGCCCGGGCCTTCCAAGTGGCGGCCCGGGCCTTCCAAGTGGCGGCCCGGGCCTTCCAAGTGGCGGCCCGGGCCTTCCAAGTGGCGGCCCGGGCCTTCCAAGTGGCGGCCCGGGCCTTCCAAATGGCGGCCCGGGCCTTCCAAATGGCGGCCCGGGCCTTCCAAGTGGCGGCCCGGGCCTTCCAAGTGGTGGCCCGGGCCTTCCAAGTGGCGGCCCGGGCCTTCCAAGTGGCGGCCCGGGCCTTCCAAGTGGCGGCCCGGGCCTTCCAAGTGGCGGCCCGGGCCTTCCAAGTGGCGGCCCGGGCCTTCCAAGTGGCGGCCCGGGCCTTCCAAGTGGCGGCCCGGGCCTTCCAAGTGGCGGCCCGGGCCTTCCAAGTGGCGGCCCGGCCTTCCAAGTGGCGGCCCGGGCCCTCCAAGTGGTGGCCCGGGCCTTTTCCAAGTGGTGGCCCGGGCCTTTTCCAAGTGGTGGCCCGGGCCTTTTCCAAGTGGTGGCCCGGGCCTTTTCCAAGTGGTGGCCCGGCCTTGGCTCCCTGTCTAGGGAGTGTCTGAGACCTAAGTCTGCCATGGGAGGAGGTACAAGTACCCCTTCATCTCTGGGACCAACTGTCCCCAGGCCTAGCCACAAGCTAGGCCTCTCTGGTCTGCCATCCCCGCCCCAAGGGGGTTAATGGGAATGGTAGTCTTGTGAGCTGCAAGCTCTGGCTCAGGCACCTACCCTACCCTAGAAGGGCTGGACATGGTGTCGATGAATTGGTCAGTTATCTACAGATAACTCACAGGTAAAAGACTGAAACGTATGACGACATTTTGGTCCCATTTGGTCCTAGTTACACAGAGAAACACGGAGGGAAGGGAACCAGAATATTTACGAGAAGGGAAAAGACAGGAGAAGTACAACAAGGAGGAGTAGTATTGTAGTAGTAGTGGCAGTAACTAGTAGTGGCACTAACTAGTAGTAACAGTAACTAGTAGTGGCAGTAACTAGTAGTGGCAGTAACTAGTAGTGGCAGTAACTGGTAGTGGCAGTAACTAGTAGTGACAGTAACTAGTAGTGGCAGTAACTAGTAGTGGCAGTAACTAGTAGTGGCAGTAACTAGTAGTGGCAGTAACTAGTAGTGGCAGTAACTAGTAGTGACAGTAACTAGTAGTAACAGTAACTAGTAGTGGCAGTAACTAGTAGTGGCAGTAACTAGTAGTGGCAGTAACTAGTAGTGACAGTAACTAGTAGTAACAGTAACTAGTAGTGGCAGTAACTAGTAGTGGCAGTAACTAGTAGTGGCAGTAACTAGTAGTGGCAGTAACTAGTAGTGGCAGTAACTAGTATTGGCAGTAACTAGTATTGGCAGTAACTAGTAGTGGCAGTAACTAGTAGTGGCAGTAAATAGTAGTGGCAGTAACTAGTAGTGGCAGTAACTAGTAGTGGCAGTAAATAGTAGTGGCAGTAACTAGTAGTGGCAGTAACTAGTATTGGCAGTAACTAGTATTGGCAGTAACTAGTAGTGGCAGTAACTAGTAGTGGCAGTAACTAGTAGTGGCAGTAACTAGTAGTGGCAGTAACTAGTAGTAACAGTAACTAGTAGTGGCAGTAACTAGTAGTGGCAGTAACTAGTAGTGGCAGTAACTAGTAGTGGCAGTAACTAGTAGTGGCAGTAACTAGTAGTGGCAGTAACTAGTATTGGCAGTAACTAGTAGTGGCAGTAACTAGTAGTGGCAGTAAATAGTAGTGGCAGTAACTAGTTGTGGCAGTAACTAGTTGTGGCAGTAACTGGTAGTGACATTAACTAGTAGTGGCAGTAGCTAGTAGTGGAAGTAACTAGTAGTGACAGTAACTAGTAGTGGCAGTAACTAGTTGTGGCAGTAACTAGTTGTGGCAGTAACTAGTAGTGGCAGTAACTAGTAGTGGCAGTAACTAGTATTGGTAGTAACTAGTAGTGGCAGTAACTAGTAGTGGCAGTAACTAGTAGTGGCAGTAACTAGTAGTGGCAGTAACTAGTAGTGGCAGTAACTAGTAGTGGCAGTAACTAGTAGTGGCAGTAACTAGTAGTGGCAGTAACTAGTAGTGGCAGTAACTGGTAGTGGCAGTAACTAGTAGTGGTAGTAACTAGTAGTGGCAGTAACTAGTAGTGGCAGTAACTAGTAGTGGCAGTAACTGGTAGTGGCAGTAACTACTAGTGGCAGTAACTGGTAGTGGCAGTAACTAGTAGTGGCAGTAACTAGTAGTGGCAGTAACTAGTAGTGGCAGTAACTAGTAGTGGCAGTAACTGGTAGTGGCAGTAACTAGTAGTGGTAGTAACTAGTAGTGGCAGTAACTAGTAGTGGCAGTAACTAGTAGTGGCAGTAACTAGTAGTGGCAGTAACTAGTAGTGGCAGTAACTAGTAGTGGCAGTAACTGGTAGTGGCAGTAACTAGTAGTGGTAGTAACTAGTAGTGGCAGTAACTAGTAGTGGCAGTAACTAGTAGTGGCAGTAACTGGTAGTGGCAGTAACTAGTAGTGGCAGTAACTGGTAGTGGCAGTAACTAGTAGTGGCAGTAACTAGTAGTGGTAGTAACTGGTAGTGGCAGTAACTAGTAGTGGCAGTAACTGGTAGTGGCAGTAACTGGTAGTGGCAGTAACTAGTAGTGGCAGTAACTAGTAGTGGCAGTAACTGGTAGTGGCAGTAACTAGTAGTGGCAGTAACTGGTAGTGGCAGTAACTAGTAGTGGCAGTAACTAGTAGTGGCAGTAACTGGTAGTGGCAGTAACTAGTAGTGGCAGTAACTGGTAGTGGCAGTAACTGGTAGTGGCAGTAACTAGTAGTGGCAGTAACTGGTAGTGGCAGTAACTAGTAGTGGCAGTAACTGGTAGTGTACTGCCACTCATTGCAGGTGACTGTAGCAGTGTAATGTCTCTCACTGTAGGTTGAGACTGTAGCAGTATACTGAATCTCACTGTGCGCTGTGACTGTAGCAGTATACTGAATCTCACTGTATGCTGTGACTGTAGCAGTATACTGAATCTCACTGTGCGCTGTGACTGTAGCAGTATACTGAATCTCACTGTACGCTGTGACTGTAGCAGTATACTGAATCTCACTGTATGCTGTGACTGTAGCAGTATACTGAATCTCACTGTATGCTGTGACTGTAGCAGTATACTGAATCTCACTGTGCGCTGTGACTGTAGCAGTATACTGAATCTCACTGTATGCTGTGACTGTAGCAGTATACTGAATCTCACTGTACGCTGTGACTGTAGCAGTATACTGAATCTCACTGTGCGCTGTGACTGTAGCAGTATACTGAATCTCACTGTATGCTGTGACTGTAGCAGTATACTGAATCTCACTGTGCGCTGTGACTGTAGCAGTATACTGAATCTCACTGTACGCTGTGACTGTAGCAGTATACTGAATCTCACTGTATGCTGTGACTGTAGCAGTATACTGAATCTCACTGTACGCTGTGACTGTAGCAGTATACTGAATCTCACTGTGCGCTGTGACTGTAGCAGTATACTGAATCTCACTGTGCGCTGTGACTGTAGCAGTATACTGAATCTCACTGTGCGCTGTGACTGTAGCAGTATACTGAATCTCACTGTACGCTGTGACTGTAGCAGTATACTGAATCTCACTGTACGCTGTGACTGTAGCAGTATACTGAATCTCACTGTGCGCTGTGACTGTAGCAGTATACTGAATCTCACTGTACGCTGTGACTGTAGCAGTATACTGAATCTCACTGTATGCTGTGACTGTAGCAGTATACTGAATCTCACTGTACCTGTGACTGTAGCAGTATACTGAATCTCACTGTACGCTGTGACTGTAGCAGTATACTGAATCTCACTGTACGCTGTGACTGTAGCAGTATACTGAATCTCACTGTGCGCTGTGACTGTAGCAGTATACTGAATCTCACTGTACGCTGTGACTGTAGCAGTATACTGAATCTCACTGTACGCTGTGACTGTAGCAGTATACTGAATCTCACTGTAACGCTGTGACTATAGCAGTATACTGAATCTCACTGTACGCTGTGACTGTAGCAGTATACTGAATCTCACTGTACGCTGTGACTGTAGCAGTATACTGAATCTCACTGTACGCTGTGACTGTAGCAGTATACTGAATCTCACTGTACGCTGTGACTGTAGCAGTATACTGCCTCCCACTGTAGGCTGTGACTGTAGCAGTGCACTGCTTCTCACTGTAGGTTGTGATTGCAGCAGTATACTGCTTCTCACTGTAGGTTGTGACTGTAGCAGTGCACTGCTTCTCACTGTAGGTTGTGACTGTAGCAGTGCACTGCTTCTCACTGTAGGTTGTGATTGTAGCAGTATACTGCTTCCCACTCTAGGTTGTGACTGTAGCAGTGCACTGCTTCTCACTGTAGGATGTCATTGTAGCAGTATACTGCCTCTCACTGTAGGTTGTGACTGTAGGAGTGCACTGCTCCTCACTGTAGGATGTGATTGTAGCAGTATACTGCCTCTCACTGTAGGTTGTGACTGTAGCAGTGTACTGCTCCTCACTGTAGGTTGTGACTGTAGCAGTGTACTGCCTCTCACTGCAGGTTGTGACTGTAACAGTGTACTGCTCCTCACTGTAGGTTGTGACTGTAGCAGTGTACTGCTCCTCACTGTAAGTTGTGACTGTAGCAGTATACTGCCTCTCACTGTAGGTTGTGACTGTAGCAGTATACTGCCTCTCACTGCAGGTTGTGACTGTAGCAGTGTACTGCCTCTCACTGTAGGTTGTGACTGTAACAGTGTACTGCCTCTCACTGCAGGTTGTGACTGTAACGGTGTACTGCCTCTCACTGCAGGTTGTGACTGTAACAGTGTACTACCTCTCACTGCAGGTTGTGACTGTAGCAGTGTACTGCCTCTCACTGCAGGTTGTGACTGTAACAATGTACTACCTCTCACTGCAGGTTGTGACTGTAGCAGTGTACTCCTTCTTCTTCTTCTCACTGCTGGGAGAGCAGTTCCTGGACCCTGCACGAGGCTACGCCAACCATCTCATAGACCTCTACGTACCGTTCTTCACTCTCCTTCAACTGTTCTTCTACATCGGCTGGATCAAGGTGGCCGAGGCGCTTCTCAACCCCTTCGGTGAAGACGACAACGACTTCGAGTTTGTACCACTTCTTCAGAGACACATCGAGGTATGTGGTGGCAGCACTCTCAACATATCCCTTCTTTTGTATTGTCTACATATATGTTGCTTACTCAGGTGTTATTATTGATGTGATTAAGGGGAAGCGCTTATCCCGTAGGAGTCATACAGCACCTTGAGAATGGGAGGACATCAGGTTTGATTCATGAAGGGGAAGG